AGATTAGACTGACTTTATTCTGTTCCCATGGGGAAGTTCTAGAGGAACAGCTATTCTGCTAGAGCAATTCCAGTGTAACTCGCCATGGAGAAAAGGCTTTAATAATCAAGGATAAAAAGCATTGACTACAGCCAGGAATCCTGACCTGCAATCCCCCTGCAATTCCAGCCCTGGGCTGTCCCCCGTCCCCCAGCTCTGCCAGTGCCCCGCAATTCCAACCCCCAGCCCCCTGCTATCCCACCCCCAGCTCTGCCAGAGTACCTCATTCCTGACTTACAGGCTCATCCTCTGCTAGCCCAGTCCTCAGCCCCTTACCACAGTTCAGCCTGCCCCTCGGCCATCTCCTGCAGGACCCCTGTAACTGCCAGGCCTGGCTTCTCCTGAACCCAGGTTTCCATTCCTGCTGCACTGTGTGACTGTGTCCTCATCCCTTGCTGTGTTTCTGTGACGTGACTGTTCTGTGGGGATAGGCCGTTGCTCATCCCCTGTCCTGGAGGGCCAGAGTTCTGCCTTTTGGCTGGTCCCTACCATTTGACCTGTCCAGCTTGGGTAGCCCTCTGAGAAACGACAACTCCTGCTGGCACAGCTTACAGGGTGACTGCCAAGGGGCAGTCCCCAGCAGGGGACTTTACAACACAGAGAGATCTCCAGGATAGACAGGGATGGCAGAGCTTTGTCCTAAGTGATGTCCGATGGCATGAGAAGGATTCAGAAACCCACCCGCTGGTAACCTCAGTCCTGTTGCAGTCCAGGTCTCTGGGGGTGAAAGGCTAATGCATTAGGCCACATGCTTGACCCACACTGCAAATCTCTCTCTGTAGAAAGACCTAGCTGGTTCTAGTCCAAGGGAACTTGCATGGGGCTGCAGTGCCATCCCAGCTGCCTGCCAAGCCCAGCCCAGCCAAGCCCGAACATTTCCACTTTGCTGGTGCAGCTACAGCTGCCAGGAGCTGCCAGAGAGCATGGGATGGTGTGCACATGAATTGCACCCACAACGCAACGCAGATACCAGCAACCAACCACTCTTGTGAATAAACTTTGAACTAACCAGCATGCAGGCCCCTGCTGAGGGTAATGTTTTACCCACCAACTTGCCATTACAGAGAAGCGTTTAGAGAGGGCTGTGAAAGTTCACAAGCAGATTTAGAAGGATTGGGACCTACATAAATGCCAGGCTCCAATTCCTGCATGCCTAGCAAAAACCACCCCCATGCTCAGAGCAGGCTCTGGCATGGGGGAGTCCACGGGAAGAAGGAAGAGAGATTGGGACATCAGCAATGTTTCACAAGAGTCAGAGTTCCCAAGTTACTGCAAGCCGGCACCCTGCTGTGAACTCCCTCTTGCAGAGCTAGGCATAGGGTCCTGGAGGTCCGGATGGGACTAAGACACGCTGTTCTAATAATGCTACTTTGCTCTTCTCATCACCTTTCAGCCCAGGATCATAAACGGCTTTGCATGCATTCTATCAGCTTCACAATGTCCCCATCTTCCCAATGGAGAAACAGAGGCCCATGGCCACCCAGCCAGGGAGTAACAGAACCCAGAAATCCTGACTCCCAGTCCCCTGCTGTAACCCGCAGACCATGCTCAGCCTTCAGCGCTGGGAGCAACACATCCTGGGAGCACACTGTAGATATAATCGTCATCTTACCCTCATATAGCCCCTGCCCCAAGCGGCATGTAACCTATAAACATAGAACCACAGAAATTCAACCACCCCTGCAATGGAAGGCAAATTTTGAACAAAGAACCCAGGCCCAACCCCCCCCCCTTCCCCCCAACCCGCAACTGCATAGAACCCATGTATCTATGGCACATACAAGGATGAAAGGGTCGGTGGACGTTGCTGATGGTAGAGCCGGTGTTCCAGGCAAGGCAGGAATTCCAGGCCTGGTACTGATTACTAAGCCACCCACTCCTGCAATTGGTGTAAAAGACAGCAAAGTCTTGAAAAGAATGCATCAGCCTTGACCTGAGCTTTCCCAGCCAGCAGCAGAGTGAAACCAACATGATCCTTGTCAGTTTAAGGACTGCCAGGTGCTGAACAGCAGTAGTGAAAACTGACCAGAGTCTTGTCAATTGTGCTGGGCTCAAGGCTAAGAACATCCCATGGGGCACTGCCTGGGTGGTACCAGAGTCTCGTGTGCAATCTTTGCTGTGTGTCTGTAACAGCCAGAAACTTTGTATTTTTACAGCAAAAGCTGCAGGAACTGAGAGCCGAGCCTCCTTCTCTTGCCAGGGGCAGCAAGGAAGTGGCTCTTTCCAGGCTTACAGAGGGCAGTAAACCCAAGCTGCCCACGTTCTACTGGTCCCACTGAACTGCATGGCTAACCCCTTCCCCCAGCCTTTGGGAGGTGCACAGACATGGCTTTGTTAAAAGTCAGATCAAAACAAGACCCCCGCCAGGGGCCTTCCTAGGCTGTAGCTCAAGCAGGAGTTCTAGGCTCCTGGGGCAAGATTCCCTGGCTGGCCTGCACAGGGGGTCAGACTAGATGATCATCATGGTCCCATCTGGTCTCAAAATCCATGACACTGTGAAGAGACTATTAAGGGAAATACTCACAGAGCAAAGCTCCTGTGGTGTGTAGGCTCTGATTAACTGACAGGAAATAAAGGGTCATGCAAGGGAAGCGCCCAGGAGCTCAGGACTGGACCATCCAATTCACTGTGTTTATGGAGGGCACCAAGGATGATATGAAGTCATTTGGGCTAGTTTCGCTAGTCTTCGCCTGGAGCTCAAAGCATTGTACAAAAATCACTGAATGAAGTCGCATAGCCCTGCTGGGAGGAAGCTTATCCCCATGCTACAGATAGGGAAACTGAGGCTCAAGAAGGGAAAAGGACTTGCCCAAGGCCACGCAGCAAGCCAGTGACAGAGGCAGGAATAGAGCCCAGTTTACCTCGTTACCTGTGATCTCACCACAAGACCACGCATCCTTTAAAAAAAAAACAACAACCCATGATGGAGGAGATTGTGAGAAACGCCAAGGGGACGTGAAGGTACTGAAGGACTTGGCAGAATGACAGGAGGGGAAAGGACCAGTTTAGGGAACGTGTAAAGCACCTGTCACCAGAGTGTCTGCGGTAGGTGCTGTGCAGGGATTACACAGTAGAAGCCCCACCACTTCAATGTGTGTCTAACACGGCTTGGTCCCAGCAACTGTACAGGCAAGACCAAGAGTGCGAGGAGCTGAAATCCCATTTCCAAAAGGGACTCAGGCACTCAGGAGCTTAGTCTCCCTTATGCACTTTCTGAAAACGGTGCCCCAAGCCTTGTTACAACTTGATCAAGTGCAGCATGCAGCGGCAAACAGATGGACGCTGAACTTGGGAGAGCCCCTGAGACATGAGTTAGGACTCGCCCCAAGAGTGAAGGAATCAGGAGCAGCAAGCTCCCCAAATGGGATAAAAGGGGAAAAATGCAATTCACAATATGGTTTAATTACGGCCTCTTAACTTAAACCAGGAGTGGAACCCAATGTGCAGCTCTGTGCCCAGTTTTCATCACCTCGTCCTGAGGTGGAGAAGAGGCTGAAAAAGGCCTAGAAGAAGGAGAGCAAAGCTGGTGACAAGGATGAAAGGGGGGGGAGGTGTCTCTAAAACAAGGAATTTCAAAATCAAATATTGTTTAGCATGGAAACCAGTAGCATTAAAGAGGGTTTGACCGAGGTGTTGAAGATTTCAAAGAGCTCTAGTGACTGTGAAAGCTGGACTGTTCCCTTCTGTTTGTGCTTGTCCCATAACTGGATGGGGGGTGGGGGGGGGGAGAAGCCACTCAATTAAATTAGAGGGCAACAAATTGAAGCAGCATATAAACAACTTGCGGAATTCCTTGCTGCAGGAGGGCAGAATGTCAAGTCTGAGACTAGATTTAAAACAAGGATGGACTCCAAATACCAAAACGCACTGCCATGCAACTTAAGGACACAAACTGATGGCTGCAGAGGTCAGGAAGGAACGGTTCACCTCCTCTGGTGTGCAGCACTGCACAGGGGGCTGAGTGCATTACACCCACACACACTTTCATTGGAATATCAGGCATTGGCTGCTGCCAAAGGCAGGATCACGGACTAGTTGGACCAATGATGCAATCTGACAAACGACAGTTTCCAAAACATCTAAAATTGTAGGCCGTGCCAGGAGTGGGCCAAGCACTAAATCTCTGGGTTAGAATTTAACCCCTTCCCCCCAGGTCTGTCTCCCAACAATCCCAAAGATCAAGGCATTGAATCAAATTACACATCAAAGGGGGAGGGAAGTGATGTGTCAGAACTTCATTGCTCCTGCCTGGGGGGTTCCCCTGGCCAACGCCCGTCCATTTTAAATTGACATTGTGAACCATCCAGTCTCTCTTTTTTGAAAGCAGAGAGAGATCTGCTTCCGTTTGCAAGGCACGGGCCCAGCTAGCCAGGCAGCCGAGGTAAGGTCGTGTAACCAGAACGCAGGAGGGAGAAGTTATGCTGCCTGTGGATCTCAGGGCGGGCGTGTGACCGGGTGGCCATGCAGTGGGGTCCCCCCAGAGGTGCCTGATGTCAGCCGGGTTTTCTAGTGCTCTTACACACCCGCCCACAGCAAAATTTCTCCAGGAGGCCTGATATTTCCTCCCCGAGGGAGAGAGGCCAAGAAGCTTCACCCACTAGCTTCAAGGAAGGAGTGGAAGGTCTTGGTGACCTTCTCTCTGGACACCAGACCATCCCGCTTGGCTTGAAATGGGGGCCGGGCTGGCCAGTCCTGTGTGTGGCCCCACCACCCCAGTGACTTGGACACCATGGGGCCTGCCGCTTTGAGGCCCTCCCTGCTCCAATGGGCAAGTCCAGAAAGTTGTCTTACAGGCCAGCCAGAGGGGGAAGGTTACAGGTCCCCCTGGGTGCGATGCACCCTCAGACATCCTCTGGCAATTAAATAATAGAGGCTGTCACTGCACATTGTTCCCCACAGAGACCCACTGGGGCTGCAGGGAATGCAGGTGGGCGGGCGGGCCTGGGGGCACAGTGACTTACCAGCACATGGGTGAATCTTTCCTCCAGCTCCCCAGCGCTGGGCATGGGCTGCTTCGGCGCTGCAGGCTGCTTGGCTGGCAGAGCTGCCGCTGGTGGCGGGGTCTTAGTCTCCTTCGCCGGAGCCTGGTCCACGCTACCGGCCGCGTTGCCCATCCTGCTGCTCCTGCCCAGCCCAGAAAGCTGCTTCCAGGCTCCCAAATCCAGATTGGAAAAGAGGAAGGGGCCAAAAAGGAGGAAACTTTCCTCCCAACGCGCGAGGGGTCGGGCGACAGCGGGGCCAGCTCCGAGCCGCCGCCTGCACCCAAGGGGGGCTGTCCCAGGAGCTCCCCGCACTCCCAGCCTCCCCCGCGGATCAGCAGCGGGTGCCAGGCGCGGCTGCTCCCCTGCGGGGCTCCATCTCCACGCGGGCGGGTCTCAGCGGCTCCCAGGGGGTCGCCGCGGCACGGCGCGGCACGGCTCGGCTCGGCTCGGCGCGGCGCGGCGATTGCAGCAGGCGCTGGCTGGGGCTGGGGCTGGGGCTGGGGGAGGAAGTCAGGGAGCAGCTGCAGGGGCTGCGGTTCCGCGGTGCGCGCTGGGCAGGAAGCGAAGCTGCAGCCGGGCTCGTGTTTCGCTGTCTCTGTTTGTAACTTCGGGTGCCCCTGGCCCCGGGCTGCAGCCCCAGCCCCGCAATGGCCCCTCTCCGGCCGGCCCCAGGGCCACGCACGGCCCACGGGGGCTAGGGAGAGCCGGGGGCCGGCGGCTCCGCCCGCTCCCCCAAGGCAGGAGCCATGGCCCGGGGAGGCAGGGCCCAGGCACCTGCCGGGAAGGGGCTCTCGGAGCAGAGCGCAGAGCCGCGGCAGCGAGTGGGCTCCAGGGTCCCAAAGCCCCCAGCTCCGCGGCCCAGATCCGCCGCTCAGGGAGCCGGGAGGGACCGGGTCGGGCCGCTGCTTCTTCAGCGGGGAGCCTGGCCCGGCTCTGCCCCGCGCTGGGCGGGCCCCTTCCAAAGCTGAGCGAGCCCCCCGCAGCCCCTTGTGCCCTGAGCTGAGACCAACCTCACGCCCCCCCCCGCAGCCCCTTGTGCCCTGAGCTGAGACCAACCTCACGCCCCCCCCGCAGCCCCTTGTGCCCTGAGCTGAGACCAACCTCACGCCTCCCCCCCACAGCCCCTTGTGCCCTGAGCTGAGACCAACCTCCACCCCCCCGCCTGCCCTGAGCTGAGACCAACGCCCCCCCCCGCAGCCCCTTGTGCCCTGAGCTGAGACCAACCTCACGCCCCCCCCGCAACCCTTGTGCCCTGAGCTGAGACCAACCTCACCCCCCCCAGCCCCGCCCTGAGCTAGACAACTCATTCCCCCCACAGCCCCTTGTGCCCTGAGCTGAGACCAACCTCACGCCCCCCCGACAGCCCCTCCCTGAGCTGAGACCAACGTCAGCCCCCCGCAGCCCCTTGTGCCCTGAGCTGAGACCAACCTCACGCCCCCCCCCCGCAGCCCCTTGTGCCCTGAGCTGAGACCAACCTCACGCCCCCCCCCGCAGCCCCTTGTGCCCTGAGCTGAGACCAACCTCACGCCCCCCCCGCAGCCCCTTGTGCCCTGAGCTGAGACCAACCTCACGCCCCCCCCCCCCGCAGCCCCTTGTGCCCTGAGCTGAGACCAACCTCACGCCCCCCCCCCCGCAGCCCCTTGTGCCCTGAGCTGAGACCAACCTCGCGCCCCCCCCGCAGCCCCTTGTGCCCTGAGCTGAGACCAACCTCATGCCCCCCCCCGCAACCCTTGTGCCCTGAGCTGAGACCAATCTCATTCCCCCCCAGCAGCCCCTTGTGCCCTGAGCTGAGACCAATCTCATTCCCCCCCCACAGCCCCTTGTGCCCTGAGCTGAGACCAACTTCACGCCCCCCCCGACAGCCCCTTGTGCCCTGAGCTGAGACCAACGTCATGCCCCCCCGCAGCCCCTTGTGCCCTGAGCTGAGACCAACCTCATGCCCCCCCCGACAGCCCCTTGTGCCCTGAGCTGAGACCAACCTCATGCCCCCCCCGCAGCCCCTTGTGCACTGAGCTGAGACCAACCTCACGCCCCCCCCGCAGCCCCTTGTGCCCTGAGCTGAGACCAATCTCATGCTCCCCCCAGCAGCCCCCCGTTGCTTGTGCTGGATTAGGGCTCCCCCGGGCCTGGCGCTCTGCTCTGGGCTGGGCTGGTGACTGGCTCTGGGCAGGGGGAGCTAATGCAAGGGGCTACTTCCAGGTGCTTCCCTTGGTCACTGTGAATTGCAGCCTAGGCCCCTGAATTGTCAGCTCCCGGCCTAGGGTGCCCTGGGATCCTCGCTCCTTTTCACTTTCACTTCCCACGGGCCAACTCTCCTTCGCCCCTGGATGCCTCCAGGAAAAGGGGGAAAGAGAGGGACGGCTCAGTGAGGCAGGATTCTGGCCCAGAGACGTGTCCGCTTTGGGTAGCCAGGCTCCTGGGGCGCTGGCTCGCAGACAGTGTCTCTGTAGATGAAAACGAAGCAGGCGCAGGTAGCGTCCACCCACTGACCCTGGGGCTTGCCTGGCAGCTCCTGCCTTAACCAGCGCCCTGTCCTGCCTCCGCCTGCAGGCCCTGCCTTGTTCTCCACCCTCCTTCCACTCCTCCGGCTCGTGAGGCAGGGATCCTGCAAAGAGCTGGGACCAGTGTGGCACTTGCCTGGACAAACCTTATTGAATTACGTGTCTGTATCGTTGTGGGCCGGGGATTGTAGGTCATTTCATGGGGGAGGGGGACCACAGCCCCCTAGGAACTGAGTCGGGGGTGGGGCAGGCACAGTCACTCAGGAGAGGTGCCATACCCTGGAGCGACTCTCCCATCTCCTGGGTCAGCCTGGATTCTCCAGAGACCAGGGCTGGCGTTAAGGGGTCACAAGCAGGGCAACTGACGGGGCCACCATGCCACAGGGGGCCCTGTGAAGCTAAGTTACATCATATCTACAGAGTCACTGGGATAAATGTAATGCAAGTACGACAGTCATTTCATCTCTAAAAGAGGAAATAAATCACACTAAAGCAGAGATTTCCAAACATTCAGGGCGTGAACGGTGACACCAGGCAACTCGGGCTTCAGCAGGTTGGGGGCCCACTCCTTAGTTTCCACCCCTGGACTCCAGTGAGTCTCACGCTGGCCCTGCCAGAGACCAGCAGACAAAGAAAGGACTTTTGGATAAATATCCTTCTTCCTGATCCAGCAAACGGACAGGACCTTCTGTCTTAGGGGCCCCCAATCCTTCCTTGGACAGGCTGGAAGGATTTTGGCCTATGAGGCCCCACAAGACTGATGGGTGCTGGTTCTGAGCTGGGGCTGTTATGAACTTGTAACCCCAGAAAACCCCCTTGGTGGGGTCTAAAGGACTGACTCCTGCCAGAGCTTATGGGTGGGGTGCTCCTGGTGAGCTTATTAGCATGCGTGCAGGTTATTTTATTGTTTTTAATCTGTTTTCTCTGTAATGCTCTTACCTTAAGAATAAATGGGCTTGCTTAGAAAGGGCTGGGTGGTAACTCCACCATTTACTGGGGCAACTCCACCATTTACTGCCTCTGAGGAGAAAAGTAAAACCAACCAGCTTGGGCAGCCCAGCCATGTAGGCAGGGAGCTGGGCAGTCTGGAAATACCCCAGTCGGGAGGGAGAGATACGGGTCTTTGCCCGAGAGAGCTGGTGGCTGGGGAGCTGGGATTTTACAGTGGCTGCCATGAGGGGGAATCGGGGTGCATTGCCCTGAACTGTAAAAAGAGTCTCATTCACTCCTCCCCTGAGCGCCGTCACTCCAGTGCCCTGAACGAGGGAGGATCCTGTGCAAAACAGGACTGCAACACAGGGTCAACGTCAGGGCGGCTGGTCCAGTGGTTATGGTGCTAGCCTGGGGCTAGGAGATGGGCATTCCAGTCCCTGCTCTGCCCGGGGAATCTTGGGCAAGTCCTTGTCTCTCTGTCCCCCGCCCGTAAGGTGGTGCTGCTTGGGAAGTACCATCTCCCAGGGGTGCAGAAAGGATGAATGTGGGAGGGAGCCAGAGCTCCCTCTGGCTAAGGGCTAGGGTAAGGGGCACCCTAAGTCCTGGCATTTCCTGACATTTGAGTGCTTGCCTTTGCCATTTAAAGAACATTCTTTTATTAAACATTTTTGTATTTAATCCAGTAGGTTTTCTTTTAAAAAAGACAAATGTAAAAACAAATGGGGATATATGCAACTCCCTCCCGCCCATCATACAGCAGCAGGGTTTGAACCCGAACCTTCAGCACTGCTCAAGCTACCAACAGGAAACAGCTGTTACCCTGGGGATGGGTTGCTAGGTCCATTGGCTAGCTCTGGGGGTAACCTCGCATCTCTTTTCTCTCTCCTTCCCTCCCTCACCTTGGGGGAGCTCCTGCCCCGTGTGGTGACCCCAGAGGGGAATGGGACACTGAAGCCGTGTGCTGGGTCCAGTCAGCAAGGGCCCCCCTGCTTGGCTATCTTCCCCACCCCCGGGAGAGGCTGGCTGCTCCAGTGTAGTGCGGCTGGGGCAGGAGGGTCCAGCCTCTTTGAATGTTCATGTTCACTTGTCATTTGGGCTGCTGCCAACATTGTGCTGAAAATGCAAGTGCTGGAAGGGGGATGATGATTTCCAAAGTCAGCATCTCTGCAAGCCCAGAGCAGAATTTCAGGGGAGAAAGAAAAGACACTTTGCAGACCCCAGGGCTTTCTCCCTCCTTGATTTCAAAGGTTTGCTGCAAACAGCAGAGGCATGAGAGTGTCACAGGCGAAGACTGCAGGAATCTCTTATCATGGAAAATGTTATTCGACTTATTATGGGTCGCTCCCAGCTGCCGTATAATTACAGACGTAGTTGTTGGAGGCACCAGTCGAGATCGGGTTCCCATTGTGCCCGGTGCGATACAGAGAGACAGGCCCTGCCTCAACAAGCTTACAGTCCAAACAGACAAGACAAAGAGTGGGAAGGGAAGTGACTTGCCCAAGGTCACCCAGCACAGCAGGGTCTCCTGTAGCCCGGGCTCATGCCCAGCACCCTAGCGCAGGAGCGAGCTAATGGAGCAATTCCTTTCACTCCAGTGCTAGAGGCCTGTGCTTTGAAGCCGAAGGTCCAGCTAGGTCTGTTCTGGCTGACGGAGCGGGGCTGGACTGGGGTGTGTTAAATGCACAGCACTCCATCCAGGCTAGCTGCTTGGCCCCAGAGGCGGCGTGGTCTGCTGGGCTGTACAGTCTCCCGGGGGGCACCAGCTAGGGCAGCTTCGGGTTCGAGGGCTAAAGGGGATGAGTGAGCTAAGGGATAAGGGATAAGATAAGTGAGCTAGCACCAGCA